TTCCACACGGCGGGCCAGTTGTCCATTCATTTGTCTGACAAACACGCCATTGATTTGACTGAAGAGGACGACTGCTTTTCGTGTCATTTGTGTCGATATCGGAGCGAAAGTATTGAATTATTTTACGGTCACATGAGTACCCATTCATCCACTAAGACTTCCCACACGACCACTACTACTGCTCCTAAAGACACCAATACTGTCACCCCTACCATCGATGGACAACCCATGGAATCTCATTCACACGACCCAAACACACAAAACACACCATCAATGGCCACAAGACATGCGATGACCACTTATGCCCGTAATCGTCAGCCAATGAAATCTCGATTTAAAGGATTCGCTAAACGATTGAAAGTTGGGAACAGTTCACCGATGCTTATGAAGAAGACAATGGCGCCCATGAGTTCACGGATTTTAAATTGCAAAGTATGTCTGTATAGCACACGAGATCACCTGCAGCTCACCCGACATATGCTACGCGACCACTCTTCCAATGAACCCCCAATCCATGGCACCGGCACCTCATCGACCACTTCTGGTCGTAGTGTAACCTCTCATTCAGTATCCTCTTCGCAGACGTCATCGTCAGACACCTCGAGATCCAGTGAGCGGACGGTGTCAATGGATTTCTACTTAAACTCATCGGACAGTGAAAGGCGTCCCAAGACATCGCACTCCCTGTCCACTCGAGATGTAAATTTCGAGGTCAATGACGTGGTTTGGGCCAAATGTAAGGGCTTTCCCTGGTATCCGGCGATTGTTGTTGACCCCAACCGGACAGACGATTCCGATGGCATACCGGTGCCGTCCGTCAATGTGTTGGATTTGCGACCAAATGGCACGCAATGTAACCATTATTTGGTTAACTATTTCGATGCCCAACGCTTGTGGTATGTGTTGAATAGCTGTTCCTATTTCGTGATAATTTTCTGATTAATGATTTATCTTAATGTGTAGGCAATGGTTACCCCGTAATATGTTGGAGCCATTGGGTGTGGACACGGATATGGATCTGAAAAAGTTGAAAGAAGGTCTGAAACCAAGCGATATTAAAGCGGTTCGCAAGGCTTACAAGGAAATGAATGTTTGGTTAAAAACTCAATCAAAAACTCACTAATCATATAATGTTTTCAATATGTGTTTAATCATTCAATATGTTTAACATTTAATGCATGAAATCATATTGTAATCAATTGTAATTACAAATTGTGATTATCTTAATTATCATATATTTGTCATAATTGTGCCATTACTTGAGTATGAAATATTATATATGGCATTGATTTGTATTACCGGTATTCATTTACTAATAATTGGTAGCTAACTTTAATCACTGATACTTTATACTTGATACTTTATATAATCTAATTGTATAGTCACTATTCTAATGGTTGAATTATGTTTTTTATAATTCAGTTTTATATTAACTAATGTATTTTGTTATCAATATTCTATTACACAATCAAATTGATTATAACTTAAATGACATTTGAATAAAAAATATGTTTCAAACAATTTGTAAATAAATCTGTATTTACTCTAAACTATAGCGGCGGCACTGATACAGTATAACAGTTAAGCGTCAAGTTTTTCAACTAAGCTTGTACCGGTATTCAAAAACACATGTATATTTTTTTTAATGTACCGGTAATTGCTTTATGTTTTAAAAATATCCAAATAAATTATTAATCAATTAGTTCCTGGTAATTGTCTTTTAGATATTTGTTTAATATTTTCAGATAATTTGATAATAGAAAAACATTTGACAAATAATTCATTATATACTGAATATTGAAATCAAATCATAATACAATCCAAAACTAAACTAGAGTTTAATGGTATGAATACTGTATATAAAAGTTCGTAGAAATTCAAATAACCAAGATTAGCAAGTGAGTGTCAAATACTGTATCAAAGTGTTGAGTTTCAGTGCAAATTGAAACCCATTTATGTGTCAAACTGTGAGTTAGACTTCAAAAGCGAGTCATTTGTTTGCATAGGATTTCAAAACACCAAACGTTTCGTTAATAGTGTTATTCATTTCGGGTATTTGTGTCCAAAACATGTCTTTTTGTCATCAGTTTTGTCGATAATATGTCTTATCTTTCAGATAATCTTAACGAAGACACCAATGCAGACATGAATGCATCGAAAGCTCGTGAATCAAATGCAGTGGTATTCAAGAAGTGGTCCACAGATACCACGCAAACGATAATTAAAGGCAAAAGTTGTGACAAATACTCAAATGATAGTCAAAATGAGTCATTAGTTTCTAGTATTTGTCTTGAAATGTGTTTTCAATTAAAATGTTTTCCTAAAAATAAGTTTTATTTTCAGATGATCTGAACGAAGAGTCCATCGATGAAGACATGAATACTAATGACACGAATTGCACACCAAATGCAACACAATCTCAGCACAAGAACTCAGATAGCAGTCCATCGACTGATACATCGATGGATACAATGGATACACAAGATTTGGACACAAATTGGCGAACGTCTTCACCAAATGAGTGCAAAGATATGGCAAACGATAACTCAATGGATTTTGAATGCAATGAATGCCGACAACTGTTTGACACTAAACTCGGTCTCGAAATACATGTGAATAGAGTTCACAGACTTCTCGAGACATATGTCTGCAGTGAATGCCTTCAGGAGTTCCTCACATCGGATCAGATATCCAGACATATATCCGAAGAGCACTGCGAAGACGTTCAGACAAATCGCTTTTCGTGTCAATTATGCGATCATAAGTGCGATAGTATTGAGCCATTCATGACACACATGACCACACATTTAAGTGATAATAACAGATCCATTATCACCGAAAGCCATACTAATAGCTATACCTGTGATGGACAGCTCTTCAGATGTAATTCGTGTGACTTTAAGTCAATTTACAGACAATCGTTGGGACGGCATATCCTGAGGGTTCACTCAAACACTCCGAAACCCTTCGACCCCTTAAGACCCTTCGAGTGTAATATCTGTGGTAAAGGATTGAAAAATGGAAATGTATTAAAACAACATAAAAGGGAATTCCATACATCGCAAAGGCATGCATTCAAGTGCCAACTCTGTTCGTACGCCACATACCGGAGCTCATACATCATCGCCCATATGTCCAATAAGCATCGATCGGCGGTACGGGACTACGTGTCCGACCACTACAGATAATTGTGATGAAAGTGAATAAGACATACATTCCCATAGATAAGTAGTCGACAATTTGTATTTGTATTGAATTGTATGAGAATTCTGTTTACTTTTAAAAATGCATACAATATCTCAAATTTGTTTAATTACTTTTAAACAGTACCATAAATCTTATAATTATAAGTTATAATTAAAGTTTGAAATTGTTTTGATTATATAATTAATACTTAATTTATCTAATATAAAATCCTTTGTATAATTTTTAATTTTTTAATATATTCCATAATTTTTTAAAAAATTTATTCATAATTCAGTAGCATAAAAAATAATTACTGACTACTATTACCGTAATTAATAACTACCGGTATTAACATATAATTTACGTGTATTCAATTTGTATCAAAAACTTAATAAAACATTTAATTAATCAAATACTGGGGTTTTAATTACTTTAGTGTAAAAAGACATTTCTAGAAGTTTTATATCAACTTATATTTGATAACTTCTACCGGTTATATACAAGTTAATATGTAAGTGTTATATAAATAGTTTTGAAACATTGAAATCAAAACCACTTTCCACTCACTTAAGGTTAACATTGAAATATGAGCTTGAAAGTATTCAAAAACAGGTGGAATATGTTGCCGATTTTAGTTACAGAAACGCCAAATTTGCCGCAAAACAATGCATTCGGATCCGGTATTTGCCTTGATAATTATCACTAATTTAAAAATTAATTACAAAATACTTTTAATTTCATATGATTTTACAGAAGAGCCGATCGATGAAGACATGAATACATTGAATACTAATGACACGAATTGCACACCAAATGCAATACAATCTCAACACAAGAATTCAGACAATAGCTTATCGACTGATACTAGTATAGCGACTGAAGTATCGATTGAAAGCCAGAATTTGAATAAAAATTGCGGAAAATCTCCACAAAATGAATGCAAGAAAACTTTAGACTTAAATAATAATAATAATTCAATTGACTATTATTGTTATGAATGCCAACAACTATTTGACACAAAATCTGATCTCGAGATACATGGGAACGGCGTTCACAGGAATATCGAGTCATTCGTGTGCAGTGAATGTCTGCAGGAGTTCCTCACATTGGGTCAGATATACCGACATATATACGAAAAGCACTCCAAAGACATTACGAATCGGTTTTCGTGTGATTTATGCGATTATAAGTGCGATAGCATTGAGACATTCATGGGACACATGGCCACACATTCAAAGGTTAACACCAAACCAAATGATACAATGGATACGAATGGTCGACGACTGTACAGATGTAATGTCTGTAACTTCGAGACGAGGTATTGTCAATCGTTGACCAGACATGCAGTCTCTCATACCGATATTCATCGGTACTTTAAGTGCAACGTTTGTGGGAAGCGCTTGAAAACCGAGAATATCTTAAGACAACATAAGAAGGAATTCCATACAAAACAGAGGAATGCCTACAAATGCACATTATGTAGGTTCACGACCGCAACACTTTTCTTAACCAACATAATGCTATGCCAACATTCAATGTCCGTATGATCTGATCGGTCAAATTAAGACCAAGTGGTCGTAAATGACAAATTGACTACTGAAGTGGACCTGGACTAATTTATATAATTTATATAAATACCACAAATACAGACTACACTTATGTTATGTTACAATTTTGTATTATTGAATATTAAATATTACCGTAATATGGATTTCTATGAAAACCTAGATAGAGATTCCTAATAAAGTTTTATTGATTTATTCTAATGTTATTGCACGTAGATTTATAATGATTAAATGATTGATTTACATAATCTGCTAGCTACACATTCACATTATTTTCCATATTAATTTATGTATTGACATTGTAATTGACAAAGTATTTATTTATGAATAAATTATTGTATAGTTATTCAACAAAAAAATATGCAATTAATTAATAGTATTTAATTTCATTATCGCTAATTTATATTATTAGTTAAGACTAGTTATTATTATATTCAAATTATTTTTCAATTAAATATTAGCTTTTTCAATTAGTACCAAGTCTATAATTTTGTATTAGTGAAAAATAAAAATAATTTAAGTGCATGTACCATTTTTGATTGCATTTGTGAGCTAAAACAATATTTTACTAAGAATGTGATTAAATAAATAATTAAATAATGTCGACATATTCGCCAAATCGATTGACTAACATTTAATTGAGTAGAATAACTGAATAATATTGTATATCACTCATACTGTATTATCGTTGTGCTAGATGTCATTAAATATTATTTTATAATAAAAATCAATAAAAGTAGTTTGCAATGAATTGAATAAAATGTAAAGTTTTATAGAATAAGTCTTTTTTCATATTTTGAAGTACCGGTATATTTTTAAATATTTTGTATGATTTAAGTATTTTTTAGTACAGTATATATTTTTATTGCAATGAATTTGTTTATAAAATTATTTTTTTAAATACTGACCTACTATTCAGTTAAAAGTGAACTAATAAAAACTTGAACAGTATAATATTTATAATATAGTATATATAGTTTTTATATAGTATTTATAGTATATAAATATAATTAAAAATGCTATTTTTATAATAAACCCGAGTCTATTACATAATGCAGCGCACAGTATGTGACTTTCATCCGGGCTATCGTTGCCACGAATGTCGACAACTATTTGACACAAAACCCGATCTCCAGATACATGTGAATGGAGTTCACAGACATCTCGAGACTTATGTCTGCTGTGAATGTCTTCACGAGTTCCTCACAACGGATCAGATATCCAGACATATCTATGAGAAGCATTGCATCGA